TAGGTAGATGCTGTTATATTGACAAGTTATACTTTTCTTCCCATTTTCTTTCTTATTTATTCTCTTTCCTTCCTTCCTTACAACATCTGCTCTTTTTTTTCCTTCCTCTTTTTTTTTTTCTTAAAAAAAAATACTGTTGTTAATGGAGAAAGTAGTCACCAAAATTGGGGACATACAGACATTCTCAACTGACTTTTTTAACATTCAAGAAGACTAATAATATTACATCTAAATTTTGTCTTCAAAATGTATATTAGGTATTTTGTTTTAGTGGTTTCCTATGTTTATATATACAAATTCTTAAAAACTAGTTAAAATTTAAAATTATTATTGTCATTTTATTACCTATTTTTAAGCCTAATGATTAATTATAAATTTTCACTTATGTTTAATTTAATATCACATATAATTTATTTAACCTGTTCATTATTATGGAATATCTATAGTTTTAATTTGCATTTCTTTTATCACTATTGCAGACTGATATGATTTCATGTATATTTTAGCTTATTATTTATCACTACATTATTAATCTTGTTGTTTTATATATTTTTAAAATATATGTTATAAATAATAACATATTTTTTAATGTATGTTATATTTTACAATTCTATTGTGAATTTCACATTCATATATTTAGCTTATTTTAAAAATAGAATGATTCGTTTATTTACACATAAAGAATATTAATTATATGAACATCATTCACACTAAAATATTTAACTTTATTTGTTGTTGGTCTCTTACATTTGTTAAAGACATTTTTAATTTGTGAAAATTTTTAATTTTAAATAGTAAAATTAAAAATCTTTATGTTATATGCCACTGTGTTTATGCCTTAAAAGTCTCTCATTGTAGAATTCAGAAAACCATATGCATATCTAGAGGTCTTTAAATACTTTATTTGTTATATTTAGAAATATTAACCTGAAAAGAGACAGGAAATGGAATTGAATTTTCCCCATATAATCAGTCAGTTATATCAACATGGTCCCTGGAAATGCTGCCTGTAGTATGTACCTTATAATGGAATTGTTTTGGCTTGTCCTACTTATTTGTCTCTTTCAGTGATAATATCATACTGTAATTTGTATTTCAATCATAGGTAAAAATCTGCCTTATTCTTTATCCTTTGTCAAAGGGCTGAGACCTAACACTTGATAATTTTACTTTTTAAATGTAGTTTTTAAGTTTGTCAATCTCCTGGCCTTTTGGTTTTGTTCTTTTGAGATAACTTTAAAAAATCAAGAATATTAAAGATAATTTTAGTTCCATTCAATAGATGTTTTTAATATTTTAATATTAGTATTTTAATATTTAATAGATCAACCTCTGTGCTCTAGAAATATATTAGTCTGATAAAGGTGAACACAATATGTAAATCATTGAGGTAGTGGACTAATATCAATAACTTTCTTTTTTTTTTCTTTTTTGATTCATTCTTTTTCTTTTATTATTCATGATTTGTTGGTCCTAATAATTTTATATATATTTTCCTTTTAATCTAGGAAAAATTGTTACATGATACAGACATAACAGAGATAGGTTGATTTTGGCATATGAAATATGGTGACATTTTTCTTGTTTATATAGTCTGGTTTTTCTAACTAATGAACTTATAATTATGTCTTCCTCTTTTCAGTTTTTTAAATGTTTATTGAGTTCATGCTAGGCACTATTTGAGAAGCCTTTGGAAGATAAAAATGAATACATTCCACAAATTCATAATCTAATGGGGAAATCCTCAGTTTGTAAGAATAAGAACATTATAATAATAGTTGTTGTGTACATTGTAGCTTGATACTAGCCATTGTAGTAGGCAAGGTAATATGTGTTATCTCATTTAATCCTACAACAGCTCAGATAGTTCCATTTTTTTTTTTACCTTTTCCTTTACTTCCTCCTGGTTTCTTCATATTGTCACCTCTTCTAAGAAACTTCCCTATGCAAGCCTATCTAAACTATCAGCCCACGTGTCTATCCATCTTGTTTTGTTTACCTTCCTTGTACTACTTACATAACATTATAATTCTAGTAATTTCCTTGTTTACTATTTGTTTCCCTTGCTGGAATGAATGTTAAATGGAAGAATTAATAATAAGTCATGAGAGTTTGAAGTTGAAAAAGGGCAAACTCCATATATTAATATATAATGCATAATAGCTTAAAACTTAATTCTTTACATAGATTTGACTAAGTTCTTGTTTTATAGTTTGGTTAGGTTGTTCATTGTTTTATTCAGTTAATACTCATTGATCTTTTAGTCTATGGAAGGCTATAGTCATAGAAATGCAGATACAGTAAAAAAAGAACAACTGCCTGCCCTGGTGGTACTTTCATTTTAATAAGTGGGACAGAAAATAATTTAATTAAATTATTTTAAAATATATGTTATAATGGCCAAATAAAATTTCTCAAAGGTATCATTCCTCACCTTATCTTTACAATCTGGACATGGTTTTCTTTCTTGTTCCTAATCACCCTCTGTTTTTTCATCTGTATTGGTTCAGATTCTATGTCACCTGATTCTAATTTTCAGTTCCTCTCCTCATGTTTACATTTGCAGAGTAAGTGTGATATTGCCAATACCCTGAATAAAACAGCACAGTCATTTTCCTTTTCTAGAACTCATTTGGTTATTGATACAGCTTAAAGTTAATTTTTGTTTTGGTTTACTAGTGTGGTTTGATGTTTGTTACTTTGTTTTCCCTTTGCAGAAACATTACATATGCACATTAAAAATCCAGTCAATCAAAATCTTCAGACTTAAAAAAAATATTTTAAGGGTGTCTCTCACTGTGAATGTACTGGCTTATAGGATTAGCTATGTTTATGTATTGTATTTCCGTTAGTAACACTGCTATTGAGACTTGGGCCAAATCTCTGTGGAGACTATTAATAAATATGACATCAAGGTCATCATTTGGATTTCATAGCAAATTTAGAGAGATCACTTTCTAAGATCATACAATATCAAACACAATTTTTTTATTTTTAGTTTTTCTTTTAGAGATATATTTTATTTTTTAATTGTTATAGAATAACATAAACTTAACATCATAACCATTGTAAGAATACAACTCAGCAGTGTTAAGTATATTCACATTGTTGAGCAACCAATAACCAGAAGTTTTCATCTTACATAACTAAAATTTGTTCTTTGTCTATACCCAAAATGCTGGCAAACATACTCACTTTTCTATTTCTATGCATTTGACTCTTCTATATGTCTCATATAAAAGGAATCATACAATATTTTTCTTTCTTTCTTTTTTTTTTTGATACTGGGAATTGAATTTAGGAGTGCTTTACCACTGAACCGCATCCCTAGTTCTTTTTTGTTTATTTTTTTTCCTTTCTCTTTTTATTGGTTCTTTTTAGTTATATTTGTCAGCAGAATCCATTTTGATATAATTATACAAGCATGGAATATATCTTATTCTATTTAGATCCCCATTTTTACGCATGTACATTGTGGTGGGATTTACTGTGTTGTTTTCATATATGTACATGGGAAAACTATGTCAGATTCATTCCACTGTCTTTGATTATTCCCTCTCCCTTCTCTCATTCAACATTGTCTAATCTACTGGGGTTCTATTCTTTCCCTCATCCTTTACCTTTATTGTGAGTTGGTTTTTACCTATCAAAAAAAAAAATAAGACTTTTGGTTTTTTGGGACTGGCTACTTCACTTAGCATAATCATCTCCAGATCCATCCACTTGCTGGCAAATATCATACAGTCATACTTCTTTATAGTTAAATAATACGCCATTGTGTATACATGGCACATTTTCTTTATTCATTACTTTTTTGAAGGGCATCTAGGTTGGTTTCATAGCTTAGCTCATGTAAATTGAGCTGCTGTAAACATTGATGTGGTTGTGTCACTGTAGTATGCTGATTTTAATCCTTTTGGATGTATACTGAGGAGTGTGATATCTGGGTCAAATATGAATGGTCAACAAATACATGGAATAATGTTCAAAGTCTCTAGCAATTATAGAATGCAAATTAAAACTAAACTGAGATTATATCTCACTCCAGTAAAAATGACAATTTTCAAGAATTCAAGTAACAATAAATGTTGGCAAGGATGTGGGGGGAAGGTACTCTTATACATTGCTGGTGGGTCTGAAAATTGGTGCAATCACTTTGGAGAGCAGTATGGAGATTCCTCCAATAATTTTTAATGGGAAAGTTGTTTATAGTTAAATCTTTTTAAAGTCAAATACACCAGTTGTCTGCAAAGGCATCTCAGTCTCCTTCCTGCTCTACAACTGCCAGCCTTGATTGTGATTGTGTACTAACAAAGGCATTTGGATGCAAAGGAATTTGATAGTGACTAATCCATTTGTTTGTATCTCTGCCTCCAGATCTGTATAGTCTTGCTGTTAAGACAGAAAGTATAAAGCAATGTCCTAATGTCAATGCCTTAGCTGCCATAGACCAGTTTACCCTATGCTGGAAACATTGCCCTCTGCTCCCTTATTTTTCTCTACCCATTTTCTTTGGATTATCTGTGATTGTGCAGAATTTTCAATTTTACCTACTATTTTGAGGACAGGACTTTGGTCTTATTGTTTATATTTCCTAACTGAACATGCTTATCAATCCATTATATATTATAGATATTTGCAAGGTTTCTATTAAATAAGGATAAGCAAACTGATGGGTCAAAAGCTATTTGGGATTAACTTTTTAAAAATATGAAAATAAAAATATAAATACATTATTAGCATGAATTAAGAAAGTGTCTAATAATACCCTGCTATCTGACATACTTCTCAGAAATGTGCTTACAGTGGTTTAGATTGAATACTTCTGCTGCATATATGCATTTGAATGTGTTAGCTTTAATTTTTCTTTTAAAACTACAGACATCAGTTGGCATAAACAAACTCAGTTACCTACTTCTCACAGCTAATCATAAAGACATCAAAGAAATACAAATTGTTTCCTCAGCATATTTCTAATCTTAAGTATTTCTTTTTTAAAGGTATGCATAAAGAAGTGTTATGAATTGCCCATTGAGACTCTGAAGGCCAAAGGTAATGACCAGTGACATTTTCTTGAATGGGTTATCTTCTTGAAATATTTTATAATATTTAAGGCCTTGAATTTATTACATCGTCTTTTCTTTATTGTTATTATTCCCTAGCACATTAAATAACTTTTCTATGTCTATCTAAAAATAATCTGAAATGATAAATAAAAGGGAAGAAACCTTATGTCATCTCAAACTATTTCAGTCTAGTTGGATATTGTTTTCACCCCCTTCTTATTTCTATGTAGGAATGTATCATCCCTCTCCTGCCATTATTTGTTAGTTTAGAATTAGTTTAGAATTCTTTAAATTTAAAAACTTGTCGTTTCCTTAAGTAGACATATTGGCAAGAAGTCAGTACATATTCCTCCTTGGGAATAGTTTAACACCTTACTATAAGAGATAAAAATACATTTGTTGTGGACAGTGAAACTATTCAGAAGATGTTTAATGGCTACTGATAGTCAAAAATCCAGATTTTTTCAGGTAAGAGATTTACAATAGATTTGTGTTGCTGCATTGTGTATAAAGAGCTCATAGGGCTTGAAGGAGGTTTCTTAGACAAGAGGGGGCTGTAATTACTTTGCTTCTTACATGCATGGTTAGATCTTCCAGTGAGAATAGCATGGTAGGGTAATTTATTATAGAAGAATAAATCACAGATTACATTGGAGGGGGATGGGGTGGTGCAATCCAACTATCAGTTTTGTGAATACATACATTTAAGCATGTGTGATAGCTTGTTTTTAATTTCTTTACACCAGTGCACACCTCAAACATTCCATTTAGCTGTGGGATATGCAAATTGTTCCAAATGCAGCAGCAGTACTTTCACCTGAATGTCAAAACTGTCAGAGAGCTTTAAATCAAATCTTTATAACATTTAAAAAAAAACCAGCCAGCCCTAAGATGTAGGCACCAAACTCTGAAAAAAAACTTGATTCCCATACTTCCAAAAAGCTTCTGTATGTCAACAGGGTAATGTCAAAGTTCTAATTCACCTGTTTTCTAATTTTAACCTTTTAAGGACTTTATTTTATTTGGCTTAATTATGATATTTTCTACAAATTAATGATAAATGGCTTGATTAATAAAACCAAATGTCAGAGAAAATGACAACTTGATGAAAAATTAATACTTGGCAATATTTTAAGGTACAGAAATAATAAAGAAGTAATTTTAATTTTTTTAATTTATGTATGACAGTGGAATACATTACAATTCTTATGACGCCTATAGAGCACAATTTTTCATATCTCTGTTTGTATACAAAGTATATTCACACCAATTCGTGTCTTTATACATGTACTTTGAATAATAATGATCATCACATCCCACCATTTATAACCCCCATGCCCCCTCCCTTCCCCTCACTTTCTAGAGCTCCTCTATTCCTCATTCCTCCCATGCTCCCCCTCCCTATCCCACTATGAATCAGCCTCCTTATATCAGAGAAAACATTCGGCATTTTTTTTTTTTTGTATTGACTACCTTTACTCAGCATTATCTTCTCTAACTCCATCCATTTACCTGGAATTGTCATGATTTTATTCGCTATTATTGCTGAGTAATATTCCATTATATATATATATGGCACATTTTTAAATCTATTCATCTATTGAAGGGCATCTAGGTTGGCTCCACAGTTTAGCTATTGTGAATTGTGCTGCTATAAACACTAATGTGGCTGTGTCCCTGTAGTATGCTGTTTTTAAGTCATTTGAGTATAAACTGGGCAGAGGGATAGCTGGGTCAAATGGTGGTTCCATTCCCAATTTTCCAAGAAATCTCCATACTGCTATCCATATTGGCTGTACCAATTTGCAGTCCCAACAGCAGTGTATGAGTGTACCTTTTTTTCCCACATCCTCGCCAACACTTATTGTTGTTTTTATGCATAAAAGCTGTCATTCTGACTGGAGTGAGATCCAATCTTAGAGTGGTTTTGATTTGCATTTCTCTAATTGCTAGTGATGATGAACATTTTTCATATATTTGTTGATTGATTGTACATCATCTTCTGGGAAGTGTCTGTTCAGGTCTTTGGCCCATTTATTGATTGGGTTGTTTGTTTTTTTGGTGATTAGCTTTCTGAGTTCTTTATATACCCTAGAGATTAGTGCCCTCTCAGATGTGTGAGGGGTAAAGATTTGTTCCACAAATGTAGGCTCTCTATTCACCTCACAGATTGTTTCTTTTGCTGTGAAGAAACTTTTTAGTTTGAGTCCATCCCATTTATTGATTCTTGATTTTAATTCTTGCACCACAGGGGTCTTATTAAGGAAGTTGGGGCCTAATCCCACATGATGGAGATTAGGGCCTACTTTTTCTTCTGTTAGACACAGTGTCTTTGGTTTTATTCCTAACTCCTTGATCCATTTTGAGTTGAGTTTTGTATAAAGATGTATTTTTAAACCTCATATTTTATCAGTGCTTTCTTGAAGATAGGTAACCACAATGCTTTCTGCACCTAAGTTTTCACAGTCATATGTTTAAGTGATACAACTTTCAGCAATTTTCTGCTATTGTTTTTACTACCAACTATTAGTTAGTAGTATATTAAAAATATATTTTAATATATTAGAAATATATTCATAATTTTAATCTCTTTTGCCCCATAAATCAAAGTAAACTATACTTTGGGATTATTGTAGAAATGAAGTTACCATACTAAGAATACAGTTAGCAATGCGTGAGCATGTGCCAACACACCAACACTTATATGTGTTTCAAGAAGTATCATGGTGTAAAATTTAGTAATTGGTGACTTGATATCTGCTAGACTACTAATTCAGTTGGTTATGAGTATTTTGGCTTTTATATTTAAATTTAATTTTTTTCAGTATATTCAATTACATATATATTATTTTTACTGAATAATTTATATATGTATATAAATAATTTATTATTTTTATATATAATAATTTATTATAATTTATATATAATAATTTATATATATATATGTCTTTTTATAACAGAGAGAGAAAGGAGAGAGAGAAAGAGACAAGGAGAGCAAGAGCATAGCGTTTCAAAGAATGATTTTAATATAGGATTTTTAAAAAAAAATTATATTTTTTTTCTGAGTTTTCATTAAAAGAACCAAGTACAGATATACATGTTATAGCCTTACTTTTTGCTTTTAAACAATTTATCAGCTCAAAAAACTAAAGAATGATAAATATGACTATTTTATTTTACTCCTTTTACTAGAAGTTATGGATTGAAGTATAATAATATCCTGTGTAATTTTTTATCTTCACAAGTATCAGGATTTTTAACATGAATATCTAAATATTAACTTAAATGTTATTTGGAAATGGTACCATGCATAATTATATCCTGTGTTAAATTTCTATTTTCACATTTCACTTATAAAACTATCAACCTAATGAAGGAGGGCTAAGTGACCTCTTCTGTTGTGCTTTTGTTTTGCTTGATTGTCCAGGATAAAAAGACCCACATAATATAATGTCAGTGAAATGGACTCAATTTGACCATCTGTTCATGAAACCACATGATGTGCTGGTCATACCTACCAACAGAAATTTTGGCCAACTAATGTTAGAATCACTTCTTTTTATAATATATTTGGTATTTTTAGTTAGGTATTTCAAACATATTGCTCTACAAGTAAGATAAATAGATGTAAGTATTCATCAACATTCTGTAAACACAATATATGCCAATCCCAAGGTGAAACATCATCAGTATAGATTTCCAGTGATATTTAAAATTGGAAATGGATTGTGTTGAATCTTCTCTTAGCTGGCTCTAGGTTTTATTGTTTTTATGTCTTGCCTGCTTCCAAGCATCCAGTCTGTACTGGCAAAGCTGCTTGATGATAGAGACCACCAACATTGCTGCCCTGACTGCTTACAGTACCTGCCATGAATAATAGCTCTGTCAGCTAGTTAATCATTGCTTTGTAACTGTCTCTGTTCCATCTCAGCTAATCACTGCCCAGAGGAATTTAAGTTCCATTGTAATACAAGGCTTATATTATATTTCTATACCTCCCTTGTATGCAAAATAGTCCATTCTTCTTCTTTTTATATAACAGTAAATAAGACATGCCCCACTTTTTTGACTGTTCTTAAGTTACTATTAAACAAAGTGCTTTTCTCCCCTTGTTTTTTCTGTACTTTATCCTTTCACCAATTTACTTCTACACATAGATCAGTTAACTATTTCTCCTTAGTTACAAGATTTTATAATGAATTACTAAATACTTTACAATCTGTAGCCTTACAAGTTTTTAGTTTAAATTCCATTGAGGGGGTAGTATTTAAGAGAAAGTTGTCCTTCCCCAAAAATGTCTATAAACAAAGGAGAGAGACTGAAACCCAAAATGATCTCAAAAAGGCATTTGCTTGGTCTTATACTGTTTGGTCTTAGAAAAGAGGACAATTGAGTCAACCTTACATAGAATTTTTAATTGCAGCAAGTTGAGTTGTGATATTTTAAACCTGATGCTTGAATTAACACACATAACAATCCGCTGATGTTCTTTAAAGAATCTAAATCTTAGGGAAAACTAAACAGTGTTAGTTTTTCCAATAGGAAAAAACTAAAAATGAATGTATTGTACTGAACTTAAATACTCAGTTGTGATTCTTGTATATAGACTACATGTTCTTTCTAAATTACCAAAAGGTAATCATTTATAAAGTGAATTCTCACTTTAAAGCTTATATTTTATTCCACAAGATCAAGGAATCCAGGTCTTCCTGACATGAAAATATCAATGTGACTTCTAAAGTTCCCTAATGTGTAACTTAAGTACCAGTAGAATGATTAGTCTTTGAAAGCATGAGTAATTTGCCTTGTTGTTACATTTGAAAACCTGTGTTTACTAATTGAATAAAATGTAATAATGAATCACAAAAATAGCACAAAGATATCAATAAAGTTTAATATATAAAGAATTTGTGTTTTGTTTTGTTTTGTTTTTGCTGCATTTATTCTTCTTCCATATGTACCATTCCTACAAATATCAAGGTCCTC